ATTTGGGAATTAGCTCTCCACAACTGAGTATCCGCACCTCAGCAAATGGTTTGCTAGCTGCATCTGTTTTCTGGTTTTCTATCTCTCTCACAACTTCTTGACCAGAAATCACTTGCCCAAAAACAACATGATGCCTAAAGAGTCACATAAAAGTGATTAAATAAAAGCTTCTTATTTTAAGTATTAATTTAAAGTAGGTTATAAAATGAATTAAAATAATCTTTACCCATCTAAATGAGGAGTTGGTTTCGTTGTTCTTTTGGAAATCATCAAACAGAAGAATAAAAATAAAGTCAGAGAAAAACAAAGTTAGCATCTCTAAAAAGGAAAAGAAAATAACTGCATTGGAAACAAAGTTGCAAACAAACAAATCATATGTACCTTAACATAATAGACTCTTATTACATTAACCTTAAGTAGAATAGTGGAAATGCTTTCCACATAGTGAATTTGCAAAAACTTGTTCTGATTATAAAAATATCTACACATTGTTGAAAACGTACATGTATTTAAAGTGAACATTTTGGTGTTATTGCTATCCATCCATATGGCCTTCATGTGACTGGGTTCTTACTGAATATTCGTGGTTGTATAATGTTCTATTGTATGGACATCAAAATTTGCCAAACTATTCCATTAGATTAGGTTTAACAACAGTGTTTTTGATCTTAACATTTTAAACAGTTAAAGCACAAATCATATTCTGATGCCTCTCACACATTTTTTTGTTGAACCTGAACAGAAATTATCCATATAGTGTTTATAAATTGTTAAGTGACCTGCCAACATTTAACATTTTTAATATTTTCACAGAAAAATCCACAGTTCAGACCTTTTGAAAACCTGAAAGATGTGGAACCCAGCACAACGAAATAGATGGCCAGGCTGAGAATCCCTGTCTTCTTGAATACAAAAAGCAAAAGTTTAGTTTCTTGTCCCATTAGTTTTTACTTGCTTATGTTACTGCCCAAGACCTGTAACATAACCTTTGAGTTTGTTACCCCGTCACAAAGTAAACTTCATGTTGAAGAAAAAGATCTTGATTAAAACTCTGGACAAAATCCCAACAAAAAATTGTCCGTTTTTGCAAATGAAATATATTTTTTAAAATCCCTTCTTTTTCCATATCAGTCTTTAAAGCTTTGTAGTTAAGAAGGCTGATATTCAAGTACCTACTAGGACATACTGGTACAATAAATTGAAGATGGGCATTATATAAGACATTATTTAAAAAAAATTTTTATCAAAAAGATGTTAGAAATTTGGAAGTAGAAACAATTTAAGGAAACCTTTGGTTAAAGCACACACAATACTATTAAAAAAATTCTAACTAACATGTACATGTAGTTTTAAAAGTTCACCCTACTGCCCGCCCACTATGGCTCAGTGGTTGAGCATCGACCTATGTACCAGGTCACTGGTTCGATTCCTTGTCAGGGCACATGCCCAGGTTGTGGGCCTGATTCCCAGTGAGGGCCACGCAGGAGGCAGTCAATCAATGTTATTTCATCAATGTTTCTATCTCTCTCTCCCTCTCCCTTCCTCTCTCTCTAAAACCAATAAAGAAAAAAAAAATTAAAAACAAAAAAATTCAGCCCTGGCCAGTTTGGTTCAGCGGTTAGAGCGTTGGCCTGTGGACCAGAGAGGCCCAGGTTCAGTTCCCGCTAAGGGTACGTACCTTGGTTGCAGTTTGTCTCCGGCCCCAGCTGGGGTTGTGTGGATGGCAACCACTCAATGTGTCTCTCTCACATTGATGTTTTTCTCCCTCTCTCCCCCTCCCCCTCTCCCTCCAGCTCTATCTGAAGATAAATGCAAAAACGTCCTCGGGTGAGAATAAAAAAATAAAAAATTAAAAAGAAAGTTCACCTTACTTTTAAAACTAATAACCCATTATTTTCCTTACTATAATAGCCATGTTTACTTGAACTTGCTAAAAGCACCGAGAAATGTAAAAACCTAGGTATACACCATATATGTAGTTATACTCTGTGTGTGTGTGTATAATTTGCATCTAGATATAGTCAATTCTCACTTCACAGATTCCACATTTGCAAGTTTACTTGCTCACTAGAATTTATTTGCAATCCCTAAAGCAATCACACAGTTCATTCACGGTGATTCTCATATTGGCAAAAGGGTGTTGACAAGAATATGGAAAAATGGGAACTCTGTGCAGTGCTGGTGAGAACATAAAATGATACAACCACTGTGAAAAACATTTTGATGTCTCCTCAAAAAGCTAAACATGCTCTGGCCAGTGTGGCTCAGTTGGCTGGGCATTGTCCCATGCACCAAAAGGTTGCTGGTTCAATTCCTGGTCAGGGCACATGCCTGGGTTGTGGGCTCAATCCATGTTTAGGAGTGTGCTGGAGGAAGCTCAGTGCTTAGAGGGTGGGCCTGTGTTGCAGATTTGGCCTGTGTTGCAAAGTCCCTGGCCCCGCGGGCTGTGTGAGGCAACCAATCAATATCTATGTTTGTTTGTTTTTCTCTCTCTCTCTTCCTCCCTCCCTTCCATTCTACTTAAAAATCAATGGAAAAATATCGCAGATGAGGATTAACAATAACAACAAAACAAAACAAAACAAACACTAAAATACACATGGTGCGGAGAGATTATGTTTTTTTAAGATCAGGAGAGTATAAGGCTCTTGAAAGAGAGAGCAAAATCTGTAACTGTAAAACATGATAAAAAATATGCATTGCTGACAAGAGATCTGGTCACAAATTTTTTGTAGTCAGAGTTATAAAACATCCGCAGTATCGACTATGGAGTTATAAATATATTTTAGTGAGTAGGCAAATTCACATACACAGAATCTTTTAATAATGAGATTGACTGTATTTTACTCTTTGCAATTAAGTAATTTATGGAGAGCTGCTCTAATTAAATATCCTGTTCCTTGTTAAATATGGCCTCTAAATTTATCACCTATAGATAACTTTCCTGAATCAATTATTACTGAGATGGCTGCAAAATGGTGGTTCTTCTACTCTAGCATTCCTTTTACATTTATGAGTTGACATTCTACTAAGGAATAGTTTTTACTTCTCCCATTAATCACTTATTTATTGTATCTATACAGACTCTAGAATTTGTTTTATTTGATAATCCGATGCTATCATTATTTTGATGTTCAAATTGTCCTAATACGGTCAATGGAAACACCACCCCTTCAAACTGACTCCTCTGTCTTGATAAGTTTTCACCATTTGAAAACTTTAGGAGTTCAAATCCCTTTTCAACAATATTCTCCCTCCTTTAAAAATTCTCCCTCTTATGGGGCCCTCCTTTATTTATGAAGGACCAAGGGCAGGCACAGAGAGAAATGACACATACAAAAATAAATATTTTAAGCTATCAGATCATAAATACTTACATGAAAAACTGTGAACCATTTGTGTCCTTTCCTCTGTTGGCCATTGACAGGAGAAATTCTTTGTTGTGCTTAACAGCAAAACTCTCATCTATAGCAAAGCAAAGTTTTCAGTTACATTAAAGGCATAAACTACCCCCAAAAATCATTTTCACTCCTCTTCATAGCTTATGTTCACATCATGTGCTCTTTAGTGACAGACAAAATTTAAATAAAAGTCAGGTTAGCCCTGGGAGGTTTGGCTCAGCGGTTAGAACATTGGCCTGTGGTCCAGAGAGACCCGGGTTCGGTTCCCACTAAGGGCAGGCACCTTGGATGTAGTTTGTCCCTGGCCCTGGTTGGGTCATGCGGGAGGCAACCACTCAATGTGTCCCTTTAATGTCGATGTTTCTCTCCCCCCCCCACCACTCTATCTGAACAAAAAACGAAAAAAAGTCCTCGGCTGGGATTTAAAAAAAAAGGTTAAAAGAAGAATAAAATATTGCCCTGGCCGGCTGCTCAGTGGTTAGAGCATCGGTCCATGGACTGAAGTTGCTGGTTCGATTCTGGTCAAGAGCACATGCCTAAGTTGCAGTTTGGTCCCCGGCTCTGGTCGGGATCATGCAGGAGGCAACCAGTCAATGTATCTTTCTAGAATCGTTGTTTCTCTCTCCCTCCCTCCTACTTTATCTGAGGATAAATGAAAAAATATCCTTGGGTGAGGATTAAAAAAGAAAAAAAGGAATAAAATATTAACCAATTCCATCCCCTACCTCTTTAAAATTAAATTTTTTTTTCTTTACTGATTTTAGAAAGAAAAAAAGGAAGAGGGAGAGAGAGATAGAAACATCGATGAGAGAGAACATCAATTGTCCACCTCCTCCATGGCCCTCACTGGGGATTTGGCCTACAGCTTGGGCATGTGCCCTGACTGGGAATTGAACTGGCGACCTCTTGGTGCATAGGTCGAAGCTCAACCCGAGCCACACCAGCCGGGCACTTCTTAAAATCCTCATTGAGGATATGTTTATTGATTTTAGAGAGAGAGGAAGAGTGATAGAGACTCACTGATGTGAGAGAAACTTTGGTGGCCTCCTGTACACACCGACTGGGGATGGAACCTGCAACCCAGCTAGGTGCCCTGACTAGGAATTGAACCTGAAACTTTTCTGTGTGTAGGGCAACGCTCTAACCAGTACAGCCACCTGGCCAGGCTCCTCCATCTTTTTAGATTAAAATATTTCTGTCAACCACCTGCTATAAACCCCTTTTCTTTTCATTTACATTTGTCCTTTATGTTTTTTGGGGAAAAGAAACTACACGTTTGTTTATTTAAACAATAAGTGAAACTTCCCTAAAAGGCAAAAAAAAAAGAATCCAGATAGAATTATTTTATATTTCTTCTTTCTTTTTCCTTTTTTTTCCTTTTTTTTGTTCAGATATAGTGGGAGGGAGAGAGAGAAATATCAACGTGAAAGGGACACATCGAGTGGCTGCCACCTGCACGACCAACCAGGGCTGGGGACAAACTGCAACCGAGGCACGTGCCCTTAGCGAGAACCGAACCCAGGTCTCTCTGGACCGCAGGCCGACGCTCCAACTGCTGAGCCAAACCGGCCAGGGCGCTTCTTTCTTTTTTGAAGACCTGAAAATATGGAATGCTTCACAAATTTGCGTGTCATCCTTGTGCAGGGGCCATGCTAATCTTCACTGTATCATTTCAATTTTAGTGTATGTGATGCTGAAGCCAGCACCATTTATTTTATTTCTGACCGCAAAAGGGCATATATTATTCTGAGCACAGAGAGGTACTCATTAACTTAATCTTTGCTACAGCATCACTAATTGCAAAGAGAGCAGCTTTCCTTCCAATCTTGGATTAGAATGAGAACCAAGCAAGTGAAATATGAAACAAAATTCACTGAATCACACAGACAATAGATAGGTAATATGAAATATTTCTATAAGTCTTTCAAGAGATCATCACATCAAAAAATTTCAGTGAGAAAACTTAAATTTTGGGAAAATGTTACAGTTAAATTTTAGAATATCAAAGAGTTTTTAAAAATCTTCATAGAAAAATGGACCCACTAAAAAATGCAGATATCGTACTAAAAAATACTGCTGAATCTCCTTTAATAAAGGGTAAGATGATTCAATATTCATTTATGATAAAAACTCCCAACAAAGTGGGCATAGAAGGAACATACCTCAATATAATAAAAGCCGTATGTGACAAACCCACAGCTAACATACTCAATGGTAAAAAGCTGAAAGCTTTCCCTCTAAGATCAGGAACAAGACAAAGATGCCCACCCTTGCCACTTTTTCTTTAAATTTTTTTTTTTTAAACCTTCACCCGAGGATATTTTTGCATTTATCTTCAGATAGAGCAGGAGGGAGAGAGGGAGAAAGAGAGAGAGAGAGAAATCGATGTAAAAGAGACACATTGATTAGTTGCCGCCCACACAACCCCAACCAGGGCTGGGGACAAACTGCAACCGAGATATGTCCCTTAGCGGGAACCGAACCCAGGACTCTCTGTACCGCAGGCCGACGGTCCAACCGCTGAGCCAAACCGGCCAGGGCATTAGTGTACTGTTTAATCTTATTGATTCAACAGAGAAAAATCAAATGAATAAAATAGAAAACATTAAAAACACAATTTAGAATAAAAGCAAGCATTTTTACCTTCAAAAAATCCTCCATAAATAGATTCCCCTCCTCGTCCATTTCCTAGGGATGAAAAACATGGGCTCTTAGAACTCTAAACAGTAATCTCCTTGAAGGTACTACTAAACAAAATGCTTCTTAGAAAGTTAGTGCTTTGAATGAATGACTTCGAATCAATGATACTCAAAGGTTCACAGAAAATCATAAAGTCAATTCTGACAAGATCCCAAATTACTTTCTTTCCCTTATGATACAATAGTAATAACATGACAAAAATCTATTAAGATATGTGAGAGAGAAAAAAAAACAATGGTCAGATTATAATGATTTATATAGGGTTTTTAAACAGCAATTATTGACCCTTTTTCAAAGTATCTCTAAAATACAATTTCAGTGTTTTTATAATAAAAAAGTATATAGGTCATTTCAAAGAGAGCTTATGGGACCAAAACCAGGAGTTCTTAAAGCTGTGGCCTAAGACTGAAGTTCTCCATAGGATGTAATAGACACTTAATAGTGCTATGTTTTCCTGAGGACACACAAGATTTAGCTACTTGGATCAATAATTAGTGATGTGGGAAAGTAAATAAAAGTTTAACACTGAAAACGAAAAGTATAGGTAAAAACTATATTGTAGGTAAGCACTACTAGTTGTGACAAAACCAAACGCATACAGATACGTTACTAAAAAATACAGTATTTTGTTTTTCATTCAGAAACAAGTTTCTAAAATTAATTCATGAATCAAAGGTGAAATTATTTCCTGTGCTTCCTTCTTTTTATCTATTTCCATGAATACTTTTAATTGTTAGAGCAAAAAAAGAAATCCAAACTAGGGCTTCTAAGACTTGTCTAATTTTAGAGACCTATGACATTTAACAAGAAATATATAATTTTATTTTTGGGAATCAAAGTCTTACCTTCACTGAAGTCACCACCCTGAACCATAAAATCTTTGACAACTCTGTGAAAGAGACAACTCTTATAATGTAATGGCTTCTGAGTTGATTTCCCTGTCCCCTTTTCACCTATGAATAAGAAAAATTAGTAGGCCATTTAGTAGAAAGAAAATCAAGAAAGTAGTATTAAAGCACAATAAACGACGAAGCTGCCCTAACCGATTTCTCAGCAGTTAGAGCATTGGCCCGTGGACCAATGAGTCGCAGGTTCGATCTGGTCAAGGGCACATACCTCAGTTGTGGTTAGTCGCTGGCCTTGGTCGGGTCGTGCAGGAGGCAACCAGTCCACGTGGCTCTACCACATTGATGTTTCCCTTTATGTCTCTCTCTCTCTCTCTTTCTCTCTCTACCACATTGATGTTTCCCTTTATGTCTCTCTCTCTGTCTCCCCCTTCCATTCTATCTAATGATAAATAGAAAAATATCCTTGGTGAGGAATAAAAATAAATAAATAATAATAAATGATAAAGCTTTCACCCTGTAAAATATATCTCTGGAACCACATAGACTTTTATAAACTATAGAATTTTCACTCCCCTCAGGAATTCTTAAAAAATCCATTCAGTTTTCTTGGAGAGTGTCAAAATGTAGAAATCAATGTCAAATAAAATTCTATTATAAGTTATTTTCACATCCTAATCAATGTTGCATAATCTGTATGTTAAGAGAAAAAAGTAGTATGCATTAAGAAATCTAAAATATGTTTAAATAAAGATGGGACTATTATTAGGGCAATTGAAAATGTCAACAAACCTGTACAAAGACAACGAAAGTTCTCACATGTTTTAGGGCACACATCAGAAAATAATTCAAAGACAACTCTTCCAGCTAAGAAAAAACAAAGAAACAAAAAGGTAGTTGGCTTAAGCTCCTTACTAATTTAAAATATTAAATACTAATTTATAAATGTTAAATAGGAACATTAATCATCTTACCAGGTTGATTATTAATAGCGATGTCAAAAAAACATCGTGGACGCTGAACCTTTATTCCCATGGCTCCAGTATTTCAAGCTATGAGTAAAATATAGTTTTCAGGCAAATAGACAAAGATTTTTCATAAATCTCTATTAAAAAATATTCTGTGGCGCATAAACTAGAAATGTAATTAGAATTTATTTTGATATATACTTCCATGGCATAAATCATATGAATTCTTTTCTTTTGGAGATTAAACTGCATTTTGTGAGGCATAAAGAAAAGACTTAAAACAAAAGGCTTAGTCCTGGCTGGTGTGACTTCAGATGGTTGGAGCATCATTCCATGCACCAAGGGTCAAGGGTTCAATTCCCAATTAGGAGACATACCCAGGTTTCAGGTTCTATCCCCACTTGGGGTGTGTATAGGAGGCAACCAACTGATGTTTCTCTCTTCCCCTAAAAAAAAAAGTTGTGTGTATACACACACACACACACACACACACACACACACACGAAAAGGCTTAGCCATTATATGATATTTTCTATTTTAACAACCAAATAGATTTCCACCCCAAACAGAAAACTGCATTAAGTCTGTATGACTAGTGAACCCAACAGGCAAATTACCTTTAAATACAGAAAAATCAAGGACAAACTGATCCAATCCTTTTGGCCCTGGAAAACAAAAATGAGTTTTGATTAAAATGGTGATTTTATTATTTTTTTAATCTTCACCTGAGGATATTTTTCCATTTATTTTCGAACAGAATGGGGGGGGGGCATCAATGCAAAAGAGAGACATCGGCTGGTTGCCTCCCACATGAGCCCGACCAGGGCTGAGGACCAAGGGACGTGCCCTTGACTGGAATTGAACCTGCAACTCTTTGGTCCGTGGGCTGACGCTCTAACTCCTGAGCCAAACCGTCCAGGGATAAAATGGTGATTTAAAAAAAAACACATGCAAATAGCTTAAAAAAAAAAAAAAAAGCCAAAAACAAATCATCAAGGAAGAAAGGGGAATAATCTAACAACAGTAATATATGGTAGATTTATATTTTGAGTAAAAAAGCACATTAAGTTTTACATATGAGGACATTTTCTGACCATGAGCAATAACCTTTACTAATATGCTAGTGTAGACACAAAAAATACCAGTAAGTCAGATATTTTGTATAACAATTTTATCTACATAGTACATGACTATTATTTAACAGACATTCTTTCGATAAAGCATTCATTTTAAGGACTTAAAATGTTTGAATCATAATACTTTGTAGGGAATGACAAAGTAAGGTGAAGAGCAGAAGAAGCAAAGGTATTTAGTGTAAACAATATCCAAAATGATGAACCATAAAAATGACAGTTAAATCTCCTCAGAACAGAGATTACCTGAAATACATATGCTTTTCTGAAAATTATCATATCTAAGCTGGTAGCTCAGTAAGTAGTGTATGAGAACTTAGCTCCAGTGAGGCTCTGAACAATCTATATCCTCTATCCTGAAGTTTCTTCTCTTTTCCAATTTTTTAAATGTTTATTTTTAATTTTTTTTTAGAGAGAGGGAGACATAAAAACATCAATTGGCTGCCTCCTGCACGCCCCCTACTGGGGATCAAGCTGGCAACCTGGGCATGTGCCCTGACCAGAAATCAAATCCGGACCTCTCAGTCCTAGGGACGACACTAAATCCACTGAGCCACACTGGCCAGGCCTCTTTTAAATTTTTAATTGAAAAATTTTATTGAGACAATTATCAAGTCAGATTAAGTTGTAGGAAATACATACAGAGATAGAGTGTGCACTTAACTGTTTTCTCCAATGGTACCATTTTATAAAACTGTAGTATAACAGCACAACTGCAGCATAAAAGCACACCTACCCTGATACAATCCACTTATCCAATTCACATTTCCCTGGTTTTACTTGTACTCATTTGTGTGCATGTGTATTTATTTAGTTCTACACATGTTGGTTCATATATCTACCACCATCCCTTATCAGTTTATATATGCACCACAAAGCACAAGTCAGAATACTCAACAATAAAAGCAAGGAAGACTTTGCCCAAATTACCAACAATTTGGGAAATATAAATTATATGTATTCATTCATTTGATGGTGATTATGTAAATTAGAGATTAAATTACGTATCACATAGAAATAGAAAAAAAACCCTGGCCAGTTTGCTCAGTGGTTAGAGCAT